GACTGCGGAGAACTCGTCGTCGAGGACTGGCACGAGTTCGTCGCCTGTAGGCAGGGCGAGCTCACTTCCATCTCGTAATATGACGTTGATGTCTGGTTCAGGGGCGGCCCATAACTGTCGTCCATCGCCCACCAGCTACCATCCACGCGTCCGAGCTTCGACGGACTCTCGCCTAAGTCCATGTGGAATTCCATACAGCCGACACCACCCTCCAATTTGCGTTTTCCTGCCGTCGCCTGCAGACCCATCATTGCACAACTCTGAAAAAAAGCCACAAATCGCTAACATTAGCTCCATGTATTTCTTCGCGCGCATCCAGCTCTATCTACACAAAGGACGCGTAGTTATCGCTTAGTCTTCAACTACAGTTATGAAAACTACATCCAAGTTCTAAGGCGTCCTATTTGAGTATAGAATGCAAGTGAATCTCTGCCTTATAGCGATTGATACAGGAAGGTTCAAAGTATTTTTACTCGGAATTTAGAATCTCATAGTATCAATCGTACACGCAACCGTCTAAAATTTTCGCTTTGAATCCAAATGACCAATGTTATGTAATCGAGAGTCAGGTATAATTCCATTATATTCAGCATACGGCCAAAGTTTATTAAAGATCAGCTAGTTATCTCAAAATTATTCGTCGGTGTTGATGCAACAAAGACGAATAGGCGCGTTTAGCTTTGCGCGACGATCGGAGGCGAGAGAGCAGGCAAGAGAGGACGTGACTCAGACGCTCGGCACTCCATCGGGGCGATGGAAAAAGTGACGTCATGCGACTCCTTAGCCCTGCCGGGAAGAAATCATCAGCGGAACGCGGACGATCGCGAGCTGGCGAGCGAGCTGGCTACAGACTTCCAACAGCAGTTATCTTAGAAATGCTCGCTGGCACTTACGACAAAGAAACTCACAAGCAGGACAAAGAAAAGCTATACTTATTTTTTTTTCTTTAATACATATAATTTTATGAGTTGTGAAACAGTCGGATAACGAAATCGTCTTTGTTCAAATAAAAAAAAAAAATAAAAAAACAGGTTTATACCTTTATCGAGTTTAATTCAACCGAAGAGTATTCTTTATTGTTGAGTATTCAATATCGATTTCTCTGTATTTTTTTTTTTTTTTCGATATTAAAAATTGTATGACTCGAATTTTTTTCCTCGAACTGGGAATGAGGTCAAGACATGGAAACACCGGGATTATAATTTCTCTTCGTCTCGTCGATCGTAGGGCGGGTCGAACTCGCGTGCGTATCTTGGCGCCGCGGACCCTACGAAAGCGGTACCCACGCAGCCGTGGATGATTTACGCGCGTACGAGGTCGCGCGAGTGAAAGTAAGTAAATAATCGTTCCTCCCTCCAAGCCCTTGCTCACCTCGGAAGACAGAGAGACGCGTTTCTCCGCTGGCGGGAGCAAGAACGCGTTCTCGCGAGCGTGAGAAAGAGAGGCTGGGAGAAGGGGGAGTTAGGGAAGGGTGAGAGGCCGGCGATGATGAAGAGGGGAAGAGAGGGGGATGTATCGCCACGATAGCGTGCTCGGTTGTGCTTGGAGATACCGTGAGATGTCACCAGCGACATGTTTGTCGGCTGGCCGAGTCCACGTGGCCTCCACATGACGTTTGATTTCACGGAAGAAGGATAGGAAAGACAGAGGGAGGGAGGGAGGGAGGGAAGGAGGGAGAGGGAGAGAGAGAGAGAGAGAAAGAAATATATATATATATATATATATACACATATATTATAACATAAGATGCTGGGACTGTTACTCTGGCTGGAGGCCAGACGAAAAAGCGACGACGACAATCGTCAGGTCGACCGAAAAGGATAACGACAGTACTTTTGATCCCCTGAGCATACGGACGCATGAAATTCGAAATGAAGGAAGAAGACGCGAATTCTCCCTCCCCCCTTCTTCATAATCACGTGATTAATCTCATTACCGAAGTCGATTATCGTCTCTTTGACTTTCATCGCTCGACTCGATTATAGAGCGAATTGCCACTTACCAAACTTTGATAATTCGCACAACTTTCATAAATTCACGTTAGAAATAGTTGCGGATACCATTCCTATTCCGAATGTTTCCAACTCACGGCTTATCAAATTTAAAGTCTCTCTTCTTCCCCCTCCCCTCCTCTCTCTCTCTCTCTCTCTCTCTCTTTTTTCCTTAAGAAAAAGGCGCATCCTTCTTTTCACGCAATATATTGAAACTTTTGAAAGTCGACAACTGCGAAACGAAATTATTCTATAACGTCTCGACAGTCGAGAGTCTTCGACTTGACGCTCATACGGTTTTTTTTTTTCGGTTTTGAAAAGTTGGAATCATCGATGCGTGGTAACATACGTCTACTTTTCATAAGTGAGAACTGATAACAGCGGCTGCAAAGCGTTTCATCGCTTCAGCTGTGTGTGCTGAGCGACCAATGAAATATTAAGTTTCATTAATTTTCATATCGACGTGATATCCGCTGATTCACAATAAAACGAAGCCCCGCGCGCTCGAAACGTTTTGTAAGCGAATTTCGTGCGCAAACGGGACGATCTAATGGCTCGGGAAACAAACGTCACCGCGTTTCCATCGAACGCCACTCGGCGTCCGCACGTCATTACCAACGCCGCCTCGAGCTGCGCTGATAGCGCGACTCCGCTCGGCGGTAGTGAACGATGTGGTGACCGAGCTTCTGGCGTATACGATGAACTGGAGACTGTAGGCAAAGCCAACGTGACGCGCAAATGCACGTTCCCGCTACATTGCCGTTTCTATTCCGTACGATTCCGTTATATTCCATAAATCAGCATTAAGAAATACGAAATTTGATAAAATCGAAAAACAAAGTCGATAAATAGGCACAACCTTTTTTCTCACGATCTCATTTCTTTATCGCGCAATTACGCGATGCGCGTCGGTTGCTGTTCGAGTTTTCCGTGCTATTTAGCCTCCTCTCTCTCTCGTAATCGACGCCGTATAAATTTGTGTATAATTTTATATACTCGACTGAGAGAGTGACCCAGTTTAATCGGTCTTATCAGCCAAGACAAGCGGACAAGCGGGCGGTAAGACGTGTACTCCGAGCGTTTTCTACTTGCCACGCAGTAGTTACGTTCCTGGCCTGACTCGAGTGTCTCTAGCGGCAACAGTCTCGGCTCTTGCGACCGCGTACATCCGCCGCAGCCGGCCGTAGCGGCCTACTTGGAATATGACTCGCTCGCGGAGTCTCTTCTCCTTCCAACAGCGAGCGACGTGGTCAACCGGCCAGCTCGGAGCTCCGAGGAACGTTCGTGGAATCATCGCGTGGATCCAATCTCGCCTTCTAGCGTTCGAGAGAATGACGCCAGCTCTTTTCCGAGCGGCTCTTTCTTTTTCTCAAAACTACATTCTTTTTCTAAAAGTGACATTCTAAAAGCGAGCTGCAACAGCTCACTTCGCCCGGATCTGTCTCGTAGGATCTGTATAAAGACGTTTCGAGCGAAAATCCGAGAAACGCGAATAAATGAAACTTAATGAAATTTCATCGTTCGAGATGAAATATTTCGAAATTTTTGTCGCTTCGAATCTACTCTGATTACTTCGCCGTTTATTTTCAATCGATGTAAAAAATATCGTGACATTTTTGGTTTTTTTATTTTTTTATTTTACTCCAACGCGTATTTCGCGTTGATAAATTATGCCTCGCGAGTAATAACGTACGCGAGCTGCACGTCCGAATTGTCGATTCCGCAAGTCTCATCAGATCTTATCACGCGAAGATCCGTGCAAAGCGAGTGAATCTCGATGCACGTTGCACGTCGTGAAAGTGCGTTGGGAGATAAACTCGTGAGAACGAGGGTGGTACGCGTAACGTGGGGTTAATAATTTCGTCGATCGGTGAAACGTTGTCTCCCGATTACCTCCCACTGGGAGTAGTACGTAACTCGAGGGTATGTACTTGAAAATTTCGGCGAAACTCGGCGAATGGGGGGCGCGCTCGACTGTGGATGCGGCCGTAATCTCCGGCGTCTCCTCCTCTTACGTGCGATATTTGCGAAGCGTGACCGGGCACTTGTTGAATCGACAACGGGAACGGGAACAAGAGGAACCTGGGGGGGCGAGGGAGAAAGGAGGCACGAGAGGGAGAAAGAGAGAGAGAGAGAGAGACCAGGGTAAAGCGTAGAGTACAGTGCGGGAGAAAGGGATGCAGGAGACGACGGATGGACGGTTGGAGGTAAGATGGTTAGGGAAAGGAGGAAGCGCAAGGGGATGAGGGAAAGGACGAAGAGGTACACAAAACGTGGGAGGAGGGTGACCGCGAAAGAGGGTTAGGGGGTGATTGAGTAGGACTCGAGGGTGAGGCGACGCACAGATGGGACAATAGGGGTGAGGAAGGGATGGAAGGGGGAAATATACTGGGAAGGATTAGTTGTATGTGGCGATAATACGCGGTTCTTAACCGGCCGTAAATCAGAGTTGAGAGAGCGCGCCACGCCCCGCGACGCTCCTTTTCCACTTGTGAAATCCTCGCGGCTTGCATCTCGTTTGTAAACCTCGCGGCCACGCGTCTATCGGCAGGGGTTAATGTGGGGGCTTAATAAGGGTTTCGCTCCCGCGACTCGAAGGAAATGATCGTAATGTATCACTGTTATCCGATACTTTGATTTGTGATATACAAATACGAAGGAAAGAGGACGGTTTCGTTTTGAAGTATCTGAGAATTTAACTAGAGAAGAAATCTAAAAATAATTTTGTTGAATTGTCAAAATAATTATATATGGGACGCTCAAACTGGTGCTGGAGCTGGAATATATTCAAACTACGGTTGCCACGGAATTCCTCCGTCCTAAAATTCCATAACTTTTCGCTGATTTGACGAGACAAAATTTCATAATTTTCCCTGCTTTCAACATTTTCAAATTTTTTTATATTTTCATACTGATGTAAAAACCGCTGAATATTTTGTCGAGAGAGCAATTTAACACAGCAATGTGAATTACTATTAATGTTACTGATACTGCTTACATTTAATTGTTAAGTTGAGTAGTATTCCAAAACTGCGTAGGTGTAATGTGTGCCTATCAAACTTGTTTAAAACCAAGAATTTTAATTTTCCAAAAAATCCCTTGACTTTTCCTAATTTTCCCGATCATTTTCAATTTCTCCGATATTTCCTTGATGTGCAATTTTGTGACAACCCTGCAAACTTCTTTACAGCATGATTGAGATCTCTTCTACGTAATTATATTGATGATCAAACAAAATTATTTCTAGATCTGTATTTAACTCTAA